GAATAGGCAGATGCAGGGAACTTGACTGAATGAATGAATGGGTGATGGACGATGGTCTCAACGTTGTCAAAGTAGCCATATGGTCTTAATTCAATTCTTTACTCTTTAGTTTTTTCACATATAAAATCGATTTTTAAATAATCTCCAGGATTACTTTTGTTTCTAAGAATTCAAAATTCTTTAACATTGAGTATCTATTCTTGTGAGGGCTTGGGGTGAGCCAGCTCCCCATAGGGCAGAGGCCACTCCCCTGGGAGAGGGCTACAGGGTCACTGGGGACAAGAGAACAGTGAGAGGTTGACCTTCGGTATAACAGAACTTTCTTATGATGTGGCAACTGGCTAGCAGAGAATTATATTACCAGGAAACAAGAACTCAACCCTAAGTTGTCACAGAGGTCGGGAGTTGCTCTTGGTTTGTATCCCTAAGTCTGTAATGACAGGCTTTAACTCCCTATAACTCCTAAGAGTCAACATACTAAAAAGTACTTCCTGCTGCTACAGTGAAGTCTAATCCAGCCCAGCAGAATTAGCTTCCCCCTGTGGGGGTCCAGCTCGAATTATAAAACAGTATTCAGCCGAAGACAAACGGTTATTAACTTAGGCGTCTCATTAAAATGAACAGTTTATATGCTCCAAGTTGCTTGTTTGGAAGAAGAGCTAATGACTGCTTTGTGGGTCCACGCAGGCGTGTGAATGTGCAAGGGCACACACACACGGCACAGCTCTGCACTTACAACCTGGCAGACGTCTGAATTTTAGGACATGCTAGCTAGGGTTCTGGGTGATCTATTCATATTTAATTCAATGAACAGAAATTGATACTTGCCAGTGAGAACAGAAGAAAAAGAAAACAACATGGGAATGAGTTAACCATATTTTAACAGTCAAAAGCTAGTAGAGCAGGGTGAAAAGATGTTTGGGGCTAAAAGGTGAAAAGAGTTCCATCCCATTTCGAGATGTGCGAGAGTACCCGGAGGTCTCTTCTTTGGAGACCTAGGTCTTAGAGACCTAGGTTTTCCAGGACACCTGCCCTGACCTGGATCCTGTGTTAGGAAC